AAAGTTACCCGGCCCTTCCACGCCGCAGATCTTCTCGCCCGTTCACCAGGGACAGCAACAACAATTGGCGAATTTTCAAAATCGGGACGTCGCTCAACCGCAAGGACATATATCAGACGCTGCCCTTTTCCTCTCTCAAAACGCTCAAGCCATACAACAGCTTTACGGCGCCCCACCGAACGAGCAGGATTTCGCGCCGAACGCCGATCAATTCCTAGGCCAGACGAATCAAGTACAAAACCCGAACAGCCAGGTGCAAAATTTCGAGGCGACCTCTCAAACCCCGCAAAACTTCCCGGGTCCCTTACCCTCGTACGCGTCTGGAACTCTTACCGCCCAAGAGACGTTGCAACAGATACAATCCCTCGAAAAGGATAGGCTGATCGCCCAGTTGCAGCACGCGCTCGCCACCCAGGCTCAGCACTCGCAAAACGTGGTGGACGTAGCTGGAAGGTACGCTCAAAATCANCACCCCGTCGCTCCCCTTCACCCCGTCGCTCCCCTTCACCCCGTCGCACCCCTTCACCCGGTGCAACCGGTGCTCCCTCCTACGACCACCACACACGCGCATCCCCCGTCGACCACCACGAATCCCGGCTACGGGTTGCAAACGGCGGTAATCAATCCGCTTCTGTACAAGCCCATCAAACCGGTCTATCCGTTCTACTATTACCAGAACGTCGCGTATCAGGTACCGAAACCGGCGTTGCCCACTTATCCGTGGAGCTACGCGCCGACCTATGCTCAAGCGAAACCGACCCAAATATGGTAAATGAAACGGCGCATCCCGTTTTCCTAGCGGGTTAATCGTGGTAGCTTGCTTCCATCTCCCCTCCTGACTATCGAGACTGACTATTTACCCACGCGGAAAAGGGAACCCGAGAAATTGAAGAAGAAAGTAAGTGTGGCACTGTGGCGGCGACTCGCGGTAACGTTTCGGTTTAGACGATAACGAGATAGAGAGAGAGGGAGAGAGAGGGAGAGAGGGAGAGAGAGAGAGAGAGACGGTCTCGTTATTAGCTCGTGGTTGAAATTTTAATCTGGAATCCATCGTTTTTTTATTTATATACGTGGCATTTTTCTTTTCTTTTTCTTTTTTTTCTTCTTCTTTTTCGATAACTAGATAGTTATTGTAGAGTTACGAGTATGTATGGAATATCAGGAATATCTTATCGATTCTTACTTGTTGTTATTGGTACGAGGTTTATCGGTACGTAAGGAATAATTAGAGACAGGGTTTTACTTTTCGCACGAAGGTGGGATAAACGGGAAACTATTCGTGTTTCTTTTATTTATATAGGTTAATTTTTAACGTGTCCTTGTCCGACAACGCGTCGAATTTAACACGCCGTATCGATTTTCGATGCCTTCTCCCTTCATTGCGTACGATTTCTCGATTGAACGTTGTACATAAGCAAGTTTTTATTTATTGTATCGAATAAATATTTTTTTACTTGACCGAGTAATTTTATTTTCTATCGCTCCTTGGTATAATAAAATGAAAAAAAAAAAAGAAAGAAAAGAGAAAAAGAAGCTGATTATAAAAGTTTTGCTGTGATTCTTAATCGAAAGAAAGAGAGAGAGAAAAAAGTCAATTGCAGGCGGCGTGCTCGTTTCGCCGGTAAAGAAAGTACACCCTAGAAAAGCAACTGTCTCCATTTCCGGCCCGTAAACCTACACCAAAGAACTCTCACCGAGGACTTAATGGGCGTTCAATCGATCTGCTTGATCGTGACCTCAAAAGTCGTTCGATCATTCTAATCACGATCGATATATTCAGATTAATCGGATTATTCCGGGCATACGTAATGAGTTCACCCGCCCACGCGAGCATACGCGTTACGATTAATATCCATTTTAATTTTGAACAGAGCTTCGTATTTAATATTAGGCAAATTTTATTTGGACGATCGAAATCTTGAATTGAATTGTCACGATATTAAAATATTTACATCTGAGTTTCGTCGTTATCCGATAATTTTTATCCTTAGCCAAGATGACGTGATAACGCGTCCCTGTGTAATTTTAACTTTTGAACTCGATTAAAATTTTTCTTCGCGCCAGAGATTTTTGATTGACTCGAGATCAATTGCTTAACGTAAACATCATTCGAGTCAATCGATATTAAGCTAAGATTATTAATTACATTTCTCAGCACTCGATAATTTTAAAATTAATATGCATGTATTATCGCTTAAAGTCACGGAATAATTAAAATATAACCATTAATTCTCTCCAAGATTGCGTTTACACTGTCGCTATATATCTATCTATTTAATTCGTGTATTTGTTTGTTTGTTCATATTTTTAATTTCGCAAAGGCTTATGGGTTTATGGGTTTACGATTTAGAGGCTGACAGGTTTGTTAACCCGTGCACCGTAAGTGAATAATATCCCGGGTAAAAAAGGTAAATAGTTGTTACGTTGTGGCGCAATGCAGCCACGAAGCCTGTCGAAGAATCGTGTGGCCGGGTCGGTTACACGATTATACCGCTAAACGTACCAGATTTCTACAAATATAGAACAAGTGTAATTGGCTACGAAGTAGCCGTTTCATTTTCCGTAATCCGGCAAAGGCGGAAAAGGAAAAAGGGGCACGAGTCACGAAGAAACGCGGCCTCGGAATAGAATAGCGGCTACTTTACGATTCACACAGGTGTCAACTCACTTTCCGCGACTGACCCGAATCTCAATTTACTTTTCGTTTTAGTGCGCTACTCGTTTCCTGCACATTTATCGTTTCAACTTGGACAACGGTCCAATTCCAGTTCTGGGCAATTATTATTCTTATATATATATATATAAAAAAAGAAAAAAAAGAAAGAAAAAAAGAAAGAAACGGTTTATTATTATCTCGAGAAATCTAGAAACTAGATGAGCGGAACAAATAATAAACAAGTTTAATATCTTGTTAACGATTGTGACTCGACTAGTGCCAGTAATTTAACGTTACACCATTTAAAATTGTGAATTTTTTTTACCGTATACATTTACATGTGAAAAAATGGAGAGAAGAATATCGTACGCTTTTTGCCCATTTCGTTTATAAATTATCATCTAGGTAACGAAAGAATA